TTGGTTGTTCTCCAAGTAAAAGGTGAACCGCGAACATCGATCCTCGCGCGGACCCGTGAAAGGAGACGCTGTTTTGTTTTTCTTCCTTCGTTTCCCACGGTGGAAAGATTCGTGGCACTTAGTTAGGGCGGAGGTTGCTTGTTCATGCTGGCAAAAAGGAGAAACTCGACGAGTAAATCCGGTGAGAAGATTAGCTGAATGCAAAGGAACCGGCGGACTAAGGAGCTTCGACTGAGGGAATTCGATGAGAGTGCTCGAAAAGTGTGTACGGTTTTTAAGTGTACCGTGGCACGATATCACGGAGGAGGTTGGAGAGGCGGAGGATAAGGGTAGAACCTGCGAACGTGGAAGAGGAGGCGAAGACAGAAACGGACGCCGGAAGAAAGTGGAAACTCGTAAGTAATAGCTCCGACAGCAAACCTGGTAAAATGAACGGATAGACGATGCCATGGAGCGACTCTTATTTCCTTTCGCGCTTCAGAAGTCAGGATAGTGGAGGGAAGGAAAAAACGAGGAGAAGAGAACAGCGAAAAGCCAGCGGAGAGAAGGAGGAACGGGTACACTAGACAGGGAGGCGAAAAACGAAAGAAAAGACGAGTCGCGGCCGCTGCTGTGTGTGCAAGAGTCGAAGTTACCTTTCCTTTTTTCCCCTTACTTTCTTTTCGCCTACACATCTCGGTACTCTCTTACCGAGGCGTTCTTCTTGTACCGCTGTGGGTGTCGGTTAAGCTCTAACGTTTAAGACCTCCCAAACAGACTTCGAAGCTTTCCAGACGCACTTTACGTTCCAGAGCCAACGTACTCTTCGTTCTCGTGTGTGAAATATTTTTTAACGTATCTCGGCCATGTTCTTCCGACTTAAATACCATTTGAAATTAGTGGAAGTTGTAGCAGATGTCTTGAAGATTCCATTTTTTAAATTATTATCACTGCTATAGTCGATGTCGCTCGTATACAAAGGTACATAGAATATAGATGCAGTAGATTGACAGTAATATATAGACGTAATAATTTTTAGTTACGTATATTTCAAAATTCCGACTTGTTTCCTTATCGAACGTTGCGAGTTTGTTGGAGACCTTAATTACACGATGTAAACCGATTTTATCCGAGTCGAAAGGATCCACGTTGATTCGATATTATGTACGTCTCTCGATGATTAAAGGTACAAGTACGTGGAGTTTTGAAAGCGATTTTTTGAATTCTCCATATACGTATTCATCGTGAATGTATGCTAGACTCTACTCGTATATGTTGGAGCATATTAGAATATTGATATACGGGTAGTAATTATGCACGGAAATATTTTACGTGGTATTCAGATTCAGCGGAGAGAGAGATGGACTTTATATGGCGAATCAAAGACGCTTTTGGTTAACCAAACCACGTCCAGTTTCCTTCGAGTCAGAAGTGACCAACAGAACGGCTCATTGGACCCCTCAGAGAGACACTCGTTGCCTGTTATTCTCTCGGTAATACAGCATGCAATTCTCGTGCGCGAGTTTATAATACTCCGTGCATACACTTTGGATAGATGTGCAAATGTACGCTCTGCGCGGAAATTGGTATTTCGATGTTTAATTTGCTATGGTACAGCTAATGATGGATATTCAAAAGATCGCGTGGCACTGTTTTGTATTTAATTATATTCACGTTGCAGGTAAATGGCCACGTCCAAAACACCTGGACTTTGTATCCTCGGACGCGATACGAGCTTTCGAGATGCTCGGAAATCCTCTATCGAATAATCGAGACAATTATCGAGCCACTGCTGATTACGATGTCCCGTGTTAGCCTGTCCTCGCTGAAATAAAACGCGATAAGAGATTCATGCAAACTAATTAAAAGACAGGGCGAAAGTGGTGTCGGTGGTGAACAATATTTGCTAAACCTAAAGTTTAGTAGTCAGCCTGCATTACTATCGCGCTGGTATTTACCTAACCGGGTAGCCAGTAGTCGCAATTTCCAGCTCGATTAATTGCTCACTCCGCGACTCGAAATTTTTTCGTTCTTTACTCCTTTCGAAACCGCGAAACGATTGCTAATTGCGCTTAGTTCTCTCTTAACATCGTCCACGGCAACGATACGCCTTCTCGGAATCACCACGCGAAAATGTAATCGCTAAAAGCTTTTTTCCCTTGTCTCGGTTACGATGTTGTCCTCCTGTAAATATTGTAAAAACAACGAAAAAGAGGTAACAAAAAGCGGTTGCCGGTTGATGGCCACCACTCGACTGCCTCGTATATTCGCCTAAAAAGCAGCAGTCCAGTGAAACGCGATGCACTTTCGCAGGACTGTTTAACGGGAATATGTATGCATGTCGGCCGTCGTGGTTCACAGCGTCGGCGCTGCCGTAATTTTCGTCCGTCCGAGTTACGTACGAGGAAAAGCGCGGGCGAATTTTTAAAGGTTTAACTTCGTACGGACTCGCGCACTTTCATTTGCTTTCCTCGTGCTTCCGTCGAATATACGCGTGCCGCCGCGTTTGTAACTGACATCGTTCCAGCCCCCCACCGGCGCCATGTTTATCATACGCCAAAGAAATTCCTTTAAATATTTCAGACGATATTAACACCTCGGTGCGTCGGATTTTTCGGGCCACGATATTCCCAGGATAACGCTTGTCCTGGTTATCATTCTCCACGATCAAACGCCATCGTCCTGAAAGCAGAGAAAACGTAAATAAACAGAAATCGAATTTTTATATGGTTTTTAACTCTCGCCAATTCACCAAGGAGAATGAATTCCTGTTTTTTAATATTTCTTTTATCTACCGGTGTTTACGACTGCATAAATTATAGCCCACGTTCCCACGTGGGTTTGACAGCATTGTTCCAAACTAAGAAAGAAAGACGGGACGCAAATAAACAAGGTGTACGCTACTCATTATAAATACTCATTATAAACCACGCGTGGTACACGCTAATGTACGCAATCAATGAACGAGACTGGAATGGAAAGTCACGTGAAAGCGGTGCGACGCGAAGCGTGTAAAATGGGAGGTGTCAATGAAACTCCCTCCATAGACGAACAATTATAAATTCATTCCATGTCAGAACACCGACTGCCTTTGTTTTTGCCGCTCGTCGCGGCTTCTACGATAGCTTCCGCTTACGTAACCTGCACGAAAGCCTTTCCAACTTCGTACCGTATCTTAAGGGCATCTGTTCGTTTCGATAATCGAGCGTTGAGGCGTATTAAACGAATGTCGAGCATCCTCGCGGGTTGTCTACCTCTCGAAATCGTGCAGGGCGGTTGGGGGGTTATTTAAGTTAAATACCGCGGTCGCGGTGTAATTTTCAGGGATGCACAGAGGACGTGGCCCGAAGTCATAAAGGGCAGACTTCGGCACGAGCGAAATTTTCATTTGACCGGCCTCTACGTGCAAACGTTAGCCCCGCGCTTGCGACTCGCGCGAGTGTGCGTATCTCGCGCGGGCCTCGCCTCGTGGTGGTGGCTGCGGAGGATACTCGGCGGAGGGTAGCGGCTGAAAAGGGAAGAGCAGAGGCAGCAGGCACCCACTATTCGAGTATTATTGCGGTGCAGGCTGCAGGAGGGTGAGGATGGGATATATCAACGGTTGGCGTTTATGTGGCGACCAACTGTCGAGTTAATATTCACGCGATTCAGCTTGACCCCGCGCCGTCACCCCCCGGAGATCCCGCTCGCTTGGACGGGCATGAGAAATTCTTGACTTCGCCTTTCCGCCCGGTCGCATTATGCGTCTTTTCTTCACTGACCTTTTCCCCGACGATCGGCATGTATTGGTATATCGTGACCGGGGCTGTTCTCTCGCGAGCAAGCGGAAAGTTATGGTAATCGCGCGCCTGCAGGGGTAGAGAATTCAATGGGTTCTAGTTATAAACAATTGTGTTCGAGAATGGAGACCTTTTTGCGTCGCCTCGCTGCAGCTGCTATGGAAAATTCGTGCGGATGTGTTCAGTTGCGAGTTCGATGAACGTGAAGTGCCATAAATTACGGATCGTACGGTTATTAAATAATGAGACACTCGAAGATAGATGTTATTTGATAAGTAAGTAAATAGTTTAGTGGAGAATCGATTTTATCCGACGGTAGAGAAACTGTCGATAAAAGGACAAATGCCGGATCGGGTTTGGAGATCTGTAACGAGTTTACTCGCTGTATAAGCATTTTTCAGTGACTAGACAAGTTGTCAGTTTCTATTGACAGGATTAAAGAGGACGGAATGGGCGATAAATTATTTCGAAACGATTCTTTATTTTCCGAGATACATATATGTAGAGACATGGGTGGGGGTTAAATAATAGTACTCTATTTATTAATTAATAATAATGGATTGACAATGTGTGGTTACGATAAAGTCTACGAATATAGACAGATCAACTATTACAACTACAGCTACAACTTAAGATTACAGCTTGATTCCACAACACAAATACAACTAAACGACTAACAACTTATATTTCTTTCTATACAACTCCGTTCTAAAGACTCCTCGAAAACTCTACACAAGAACTGTTCGCTAACCATTTTTGCCTTCTTATATATATTCCCCGAAAACCTCCCCCGATATGACCAAATATGGTCATGCTGAGGGCTTGACGCATCGTCGGGATTTTTCTCACCGACCTGGCCCTTGAACCCTCGGCGACCTTCCAAACTAAAATCACCTATGAGGTGGAAATTCTGCGATACTACATATACATAATTAAAAACAGGAATGAGATAAACAATACGTCCAATTTTAATTATCTTAAGTATCTCGTGAGATAATAATTATTTTTTTTCTTAACACATTGTACACCGATCTATAATATCACGTGATTTCGTTATTACTATACATGTGTTTCTATAAGATATTTCTTATTTAATATTAATTTCAGCATTGATTAATAATATAGAGCATTTCCTTGGAATGTATACTAAAAACTGTTTTATGAAAAATTACACGGTGAAAAAATGTATTAAAATTTTGCAAGGAATTTTTATCCGAATAACAATAAATTTTCTGCTTGCAGTACGTATGGCGTATGGCCTACTCTATGGTATGGCATCACGGGACATTGTTCTTTGCTTCCTCCTCGCCGCCTTCCTTTACTCGAGTTTCGGTAAGAATCAAATGAGATATTCTCCTCTTTGGAACCGCGAGTAGCACTCTTGAGCCGATCGCTGAAGCCGCGAGAAGAGGTGTACGGGAACAAGTTTGAATTGGTCGGAATACGGCCGCGAAAGTTACAAGTTTTTTAATCCCTATAAAATGATACGAACGAATCTCTTGTATCCGTAATAGCATCGTACCGTACTCTCTTTTCCTTCCTGCCGCGTTTCTTTGCTCCACTTTTCGGTAAGAATCAAATAAAATGCCCCTAAAAGCACTATCGGAAGTCTCCAGAGCTTCCGTAAAAGCATTCCCGCCGTTCGGAAAGGTGAACGTGGGCGCAGAAATTACAGGAGCGTTGCACGGCTAAACGTTACTTCGCTCTTGTTTCCAGCCCCCCGAAATATTCGTTTGATATCCAATTTCGTCGTTTCATCGTGCAATTACGGTGCAACGGAGAGGTGGCAGCCTCGAATTCGCTTTTTTCTTCCCGCGCGTTCGACCGTCCGGAACGGTTATTATTTAATAAGGTGTCGGGGGTTGGAACGCGCACGGTTTGATACGGTTAATAAACGCCCCGTTACGCGACACCCTGATATATAAATTCTTTTCTCGCTGGTCCTTTTGCTCCACCCCGACAACGTGCACGCGCCACGCGACACAAAAAGCTGGTCGAATGGAGAAGAGGAACTAAATCTGAATGGCCAGTGGAAAAAGAATTATTACCCCCCATAACTTCGCCTCGTACAGCCGCCATGAATCTATAGAGAAGCGATATGCATGACGAGCTAGATTAAGCTGGTCGCGTTAAGAGAGATGTAAAAGATTAAAGAAATCAATATCGGGCGGAGAGGATATATGGAGAAGGCAAACGTCCAATGAAACAGCAGACTGTGGGGGTGTCATTCGAACTTATGCTACCCGCGCGCGTTAACGTCCATTGTTTTTGTCTCGACGGCGTAAACCTAAGCTAATTAGATGTAAACTTGCCGGATCATTAATCGCACGATCGTTAATTACACTGGCCCAGGTCAAGCGATGCCAAAGTCCGAGGTCCAGCCAGAATTTCTAGAACTTCTGGAGAACCATACGGTCATTCAAGGTCGTGACGTCTCCTTCACCTGCGTCGTTAATCATCTTCAATCTTACAAGGTAATTGCATCCACGTGTCGGCGTAATTAGTAAGTCGATTAAGGGCAACGCTTCGAAGTCGTAAGTAATGGCCTAAATCGCATTTCCGTAAATAGAGGCTCGAACGGATTACGTTAATCGAACAATGCACCTATCGTCGTGTAACGTACGTTAACCAGTCGCGATATTCACGGACGGCTCGCCATATTTTCGTTTCGTAGCCGGCGATAAAGGTAGAATCGTAAATGCACACGACGAAAGTGCACGCGTACGGCGTCGATTATGACAAAGCACGTAGGTTTGCACTTTCGTCGGTCCACACCCAGTTCTGTCCAGAGCCCCTTGCGGGACAGACCTGCCGAGTAATTCACTTTCGAGAAGAAGTCCAAGTTTGATTGCGCGCTCGAATCGACAATCGCTTCTATCGCGAGATGAAACGCCCTTGGCGCGTGTTCAGAGGATTTCGTCCTGCCGGATTCGAGGGATGGAAAAGGACACAAGAGTGGTGGAAAGAAAAAGGAAGAAGACGAAGAGGAGGAAGAAAAAGAAGTGGAAAAAGTGGAAGCATAGGGAATCCGAATGTTACAGCGAGCTGGAGAGTACCCGGGGAAAAGAAAGGAAGCTCGAAAGAAGAGACATAAATCAGAGTCGCTAATACAGCGTACAACATGAATGGGTCTGATTTCTGTCAGTTCAGGAGCACCAGAAGCGCCCTATCCTTTCCCTTTCCCTTTATCTTCTTCTCTGTTTTTAAAGTACAATAATTTTACCTGAAATTTTGCCAGGGAAAGCGAAACATCCTAGAATAATTCTTTAGCTCTTGCGAATATCGAGGACGAAAGAGGGAATTTTACTAATTATCCCTTTCGATACGGCAGTCTCGTTGGCAAGTACGCTATCACGGTACAGGATAATTCCAATGCGGCTGTACATTGCTCTGTCAAAGTCACGAATCAATGGGAAACCCTAACCGCGAACGTCAGACCTGGGTAACCATAGTCACCGTTTGTATATTTTCAAAGTCAGACATTAGGTAACTGCAACATTGAAATTTTCTATTACCGCGACATTGCGAACGTATTAATCTCGAGATAAAGATCTATGCAAAATGCGATTATGGAATAATTTATTGGGAATAATTACTTCGAACGATCACAGCCTCCATCGTTATGTGCACACCATACGTTCGTTTCATCGTTAAGCATTGAAAGCTTGACACATTCCTCGATTCAATATCGTTCTAGACGTGTGAGATATAACAGATGACTGTGCACGCAAGCATATCGGTGATTGTTTGCATAAAAATTTTTCCCGCCAACAGGTAGAATTATATCGTCAGCCAGAACGGCGAATAGTCCATCAGCGTTATTTATGCACACCTTAAATTCCATTGGCGCCGGATCAAAACGTCGCTTTTGTTCTGCCGATTTAAAAGCCCTATCACCCGTTCAATAGAACCGTCGTTTGAAATACGACAGATCGGGCACGCAGGAAGTATGTTCGTACAAACGGGACCAACGTGGAAGTACGATCACCGATTGGAATTTGAATCCTGGAATCCAATAACAGTGTTCATTCAATCGCGCCAGAATCCTCAAGTAAATAATTACGTTTCAGGGGGAATAAACGTACAAATGAATTTTCAGCCTTACATAACAAGCCGATCCTGATCGATGCGTGTTTAACGTGAAAAATCAATTGTCTTACGTTGCATCCACGTTTTATATTAGGGTGTCCCATAAGTTTCTTCCTTTTTTTTTATGCGAAGTCAATAGACGATATTTGTTGTTTAAGGTTGATTTGCTGTGTTATATATGAACCATTCTGCTCTATTACCTTCTTCCATCTCTCAGGAAGCCTCATTGTGCCCTCTTTTCAAAATTGTTGAGACATACTTGCAAAATATTCAGCGAGGTGCGTGTTTATTTCGCTTTCGGATTTGTGACATTTATTAGACAGAAAGCCTCACAGTTTGATTGGGACGTTCTACCTCATCCTCCGTACTCACCAGACCTTGCCTCATCCGATTATTACTTGTTTCTCCCGTTAGAAAATTCTCTCCGTGATAAATGTCATAAATCCGAAAGCGAAATAAACACGCACCTCGATGAATATTTTGCAAGTAAGTCTCAACAATTTTGGAAAGAGCACGTAATGAAGCTTCCTGGGAGATGGAAGAAGGTAATAGAGCAGAACGGTTCATATATGACACAGCAAATCAACTGTAAGCAACAAATATCGTCTATTGATTTTGCATCAAAAAAAAGGAAGAAACTTATGGGACACCCTAATATTTTTCTTTTCTTTTTCCTGTCCTTTTCCCTCTGCCTCGTATTCTTTTCCCGCGGATGATACATCGAGATATTCTTTTAATTTCGGTATTGTTCGTTCCGAGTAAGCAACAAATGGGGAATACGAGTTGAATTACATCGTGATACGAGTTTTCTTTTTTTCCCCGTTGCCTTTCTTATTGCGGTATAATATTTACGTTCCCAGTCTTAACGGGCGCATTTACGTTGGAATTCATGAATGCAGAAGGGAACGGGAAATCGGAGAGAACATTTTACGTTCACGCAGGGAAGAACCTAGTTCTAGTATATCGCTTGAAATATATAATTCGCGCGTGTGTAAATAATTTTTCGTTTATCCTAACGTGATAGCCTGTTCCCTTTTTTTCTGTTCGCTTTCATTCTGTTCTCGTCTTTTCCCGTTTGCGTGCAACCGCGATGAAAGCAAGGAAAGAGGGAAAATGTACGTTAAATACATTTCATCCATTACTATTCCGCATTTCTTGCATTCGAGCCTTTGAAAACCTCGTCCAATGAGAAGCGTTTCTTTCGAAATTTATTATTCATACCTCGTAAACGAGTGCATGGTCCGGGATGGGGGTAAAGAAAAGAGCGCAATAAGAAGAATACCTTCAACGTAGCTGCTCTAACGGGGTAGGTTTAACTGTCTAATCAAGAAAGTAACCAAGGTGCCTGGCAACGTTCAATAGACACTAAAGTGGCAGCATCTACAACTCGAGCGATCAGTCTTGGTACATACGAGCTGGAAGCGCATTATTCTTATTGCACCCACCGCCCTTGGAGCCGTGGAAAATCTATTATGAACGAGGTGTATAGGTATACGTGTATTCGTACTACTGCAATCATAAATTTGAAATCAAAGCTTTGGAATCATATCCCGACTCATATCTATAACGAATCTCCTAATAATTTTATTATCAATCTTAAATCAGTGATATAGATATTAACCCTTTGCACTCGACGATTTTTTGGCTAGAGAAGAGTAGAAATTCAAAGATTCTCTACTAAAAAACTGACGATACTTTTTTGAGCAGTAAATAAAGAATTGTATAATAATAGAATTGTAGAATTATTTGACTTCGATACTTCGCACACTGTTACCTCACATTAAATTTGATATATTAATTAATATCGATCTTCCAAATATTATGAAATGGTGACTGAAGCTCATTTCTCAAGTGCAAAGGGTTAATAATAATCTTTTTATCTCGCTACCATTTTGTCTAGAGAATTTTCTGAGGTAATAATAGCCTTATCTAACCTTGTTTCTTAAATTTTTGGTTTTTGTGAAGCACGCAGTGATTTCAGATTTTTGGTTGGTATACCAAAGGTGTTTAAATCGTGGCTCTTTTAGATGCTTAATACGGCTTCTTCTCCTATTAAAGAGATTCATCGTAACGTGTATAAATCAATAGTTAAAAATAATGGTACGTATTAACCCTTTGCACTCGACGATTTTTTGGCTAAAGAAGAGTAGAAATTCAAAGATTCCCTACTAAAAAACTGACGATACTTTCTTGAGCAGTAAATAAAGAATTGTATAATAATAGAATTGTAGAATTATTTGACTTCGATACTTCACACGTCGTTACATTACATTAAATTTGATAAATTAATTAATATCGATCTTCCAAATTTCATGAAACGGTGACTGAGGGTCACCTTTCGAGTGCAAAGGGTTAATTAATTAGTTCCAATAGAAAATTTGGCTCTGGATTGTTCCTGATAGCTGAAATAGTTTCTGTCATAAGAAGATTATTTGACTATTCCCAGTATATACATACGTTGTCTTCCTTCCTGTCTTTCTCTCTCTCCCGCAGACATCCTAGATAGAACAAGAAGCATTATTGATCCCAAACTAATTCTAAAACGACGGTATTATAAGGGGTGAGTGATGTAAGTAACGCCAGACAGAGTAGCGGTTTATAATCGGCTGCTGAAACTGCGAGAACATTCATACCCCGTGATTGTATTATGCAGGTCGCCTGGATGAAGTACGACTCCAAAGCTATCCTGGCCATTAATACGCACATGATCGCTCAAAACCCACGGTTGTCTGTCACTCACAATGGACATAACACGTGGAAACTGCACGTGACCAACGTCCAGCCGAACGACTCTGGCACGTACATGTGTCAAGTTAATACGGACCCTATGAGGAGTCAGGTTAGTAACGTTCGTCTTCACCTCTGATGTTAAACGCGTGTGTCCCTTGCCTCTACGTGTAGACATTTTAATAGTATCCACGTTACGAACCATCCACGTCATCCACCGCTTTTGGCCACCCTCTTTCTCCTTTTTTAAACTGTTTCCATATCACGTACGATACGACGTGACCAAAGGGATGCGTTAATAGATAATCTTTGCTGCATTACCGTCGACTGGACACAGCATGGTTGACACGTGGAAAATATTACCGTCGAAGGGATTGCTGCGTGATAACATCGACAAAATTGAATATCAAATTTCACGCGAAGGGATGAGCAAAGGCACGCGAAACGAGACGAGACGGCTGAAAAATGCAGGATTCTCCGTTTCTCTGTGTCTCCCTTTTATTGGCTACAACCCGTGTATTTTTTCGATGATAAGCCTAGATTAGAGGCGAGTCTGGAGCAGCCGTGTTTGTCGAGGTTTGAATCCTCGAGTTAAGCTTGATTTAACCCTCTGCGGATGGTGCCATTTTTCGTCTGGATATACGTTTGAACTCGAGGCTTTAGGGCGTGCTATGAAGAAACGATATGTACTAGAAGATACATATGTGCCCTGCAAAAGTCATAAACTTTGATTAATGAATTTTCTTTGTTATTATTAAAAAAAAAATATTTTTTACCATATTAACATCGAAACTTTGTGTGTCCATTTGCCATTGCTTGTGCGCAAGGGATTAAATGTTGCAGAGGTCAGACAGGGGATGCAGTTCGGCCGCTATAGCGTTTCATAGGTCAGAGAATCTTTCTCATTAGCTGACAAATGATGGTACGTGATAGTTTGTAACGATCTCTGCGCAGACTGGATACATGTCAGTGGTGATACCGCCCGATATTATGGATTTGGACGATTCTGCCGACCTCCTGACAGCGAAAGAGAACAGTGATCTGCGATTACGATGCCGGGCAACGGGAACACCGAAACCCGTGGTCACTTGGCGGCGGGAAGACGGACGAAATATTACTCTCCGAACGGAGCACGGTGTTCAACGAGGTAACATTTTCGAGAATTATGATTTCTCGCAATTTCTTACACCGAACGGAACTGCTTTACTCAATCAGTGAATTCAGGCAAACTTTAAACACGATATCATCGATGATCTTTTTCTTCCAACGAAGTTCCGGGTAGCTTATTCGTCGAAGAGAACTTGGATCTCTTTAGCGGGAAAAGTAGCAAGTTTAATTTCATATATTTCCAATTGGCTTTTTGCATAAACCACGAATATGAAAGTTGGTCCTAAACTTTTTAACAGAGGCGTACTTATTTATTAATTTCTTGCTCTTCATTCGCGTTGCTGTAGAAACATTGATAATTATCTATGATGAGTTACTTGACTTTGTGTTTAACACTAGATTTACGGATGTTGATTATATACCTATTTTTACTGAACTGAGCCAATTTGACTCATAAGAAAATTGAAGTTGTTTGCAAAGAAAATAGTTCCAGATCAATTTAAATAAAAGATTTATTATTAAAAAATTCATTGGAAGCAGGTTTTACATATAATATCTGTTTGAAATACATTTTCCGAAAATATTTCTATTACATTTAGCACAAAGGCTCTTACATCTATTTCTGTTATATAATTCTTGAACTTGACAATTCTTCCGTGCGTTGGTAGTATGAATTTTTGTCAATGGAATGAAAGTGTTCTCCACATGTTCTCCATATTTACTTCTCAGTTCTTCGGCTAATTGGAAAATAAAAACTTTTCTTGAAATATTTACTCGAGTGGTCTCTTTATATAGAATCCAACCATTTATAGCTGCTAAATCTAAAATATTATAGAAAACTTGTAGAGGCCATCTGCGAGAGACTGCTTTAATGCTATATTTTCGGCCCATGTGGTCAAGTATATCCATGCCATACTTGGTGCTATTACAAAATGTTACTGTTTCCAGAATAGGATTTTTATTTTTCTCAATTATTATATTTTTATGTTTTGAACTTAGTAGTAAAACTTTTTTATTAGGCTTGCTTTTATAAATGGTTGCAAAAGTTGCCCAGGCTTGATGTAAGCTATAAATTTCATGTGTTATACGATTAACTGTTAAATCATTTTATGAGTCAAATTGGTTCACAACCGTAAAAATAGGTATACCACATTCGATAATGCGAAATGAAAGGGTCTGCAGGGGAGAGGAATCAACATTTACGTACATTTCATGACGTAACTGAAAGCCAATATGTGTTTTTAAAAAATAATATTTAAGTTTTATATCTATAGAGTAATCAAATTTTTAATGAGTCAAATTGGCTCAGTCCGTAAATCTAGTATTAATAATAAAAAGAAAACGAGTAAGGCTACTGTATAAATGAATTTGCAGGTATCCGTAACATGTTTTTTCTCGATACAAAATTTCTTCTCAAAAGCTCGAAGTGTATTCCCGTTATTAAACGTTTGAAAGCTTCAGATTCGTACGAATTAACTGCTGTTCCCGGTGGCAATGAAAAGATTCATGTATGCATAAATACAGGAGCGTAACGTAGCATTTCCATGCAGCTTCGTCCACGCAGCGAGACGTTCGTTGAACGCATGGACGTAAAAGCGCGATCACGTCGGGTCCATCGCGTTCCGTAGAAAATCAACCAGCCGATTAGCCTTTCTAACAGTGAGTGATGGATGTTGACTTTACATATATTTCCTCTTCGCCGACCCCATCGATTCGCATACCCGATTGCAATATTCGCTGTGTACACTGCGCCACGAAAGTGTCTAGCACTCAGAATCTATATCGTGCCCGGCGATTCGACAATCTTCCCCAAAACGTATCACGGGGAGTACTCTCGTTGTTTCGGCCCCCTTAATGAGCTCAACCGATCCGCCGTCGTTCCTCTCGCATTATACTCCATGGAAGCTGCAATAAAAACGGTACACTGAATATTAAAACGGAATACGATTAAGAGACAGCGCAGGATATGACGTCGCAAAGTTTTTAAAAAACGAGATTAAATCTGTGCTTGTAAGTCAAAATTCCTGACTTACCGACTTAGCAAGATTGGAGCTCATCAATTCGGTTATAAGACACGTACGAAAAATTATAATTGCAATTTAACCCTTCGCACTCGACGACTTTCTCTGTCATAGAGTCGAGGAAATTTTTAAAATGGTAAATAAGAAATCATATGCAAATTAAGACGTAGAATTATTTTTCTTTCACATTCCACACATCGTTAGGTAATTTTATATATGATATATTAATTAACGTCGATCTTTAGAATTTGATTAAATGGTGACTGAGAGTCACCTCTCGAGTGCAAAGGGTTAATAAAAGGCCAATAAGAAAAATTTATATTCGGAACTCTGATTATCTCGAAAGTTAACGTGCAGCAACCTAGTGAAGAAATTTGAAGAATCTCGAAGCGGAGTAGAAGTATCGTAACTGTAGGATTTAGGAAAGGATAGCATAAAGAGTATTTAGTATAACAGGGATATTAATACAATACCTATAAAAAGTTTCGATATCGTTGAAATATAGTTGGAAGGTTAATATAATAGACGTATCGGTACTCTACGAGAAAGTTTGAAATGGTCGAAACAGAGTAAAATTGGCGACCAAACGAGGACAGCAAGGTAGAATAGAAATATCGATATAATATACGTATATTCCGCAAACGATGTTTCAACTGACCCGTTGAAAATGACTCACGCAGTAAAGTCGTACGAAGGGGAGCAACTTCATCTGGCGGGCATTCTGCGGCAGGAGATGGGCTCTTACCTTTGCATCGCCTCGAACGGCGTGCCGCCAACGGTCAGCAAACGATATTACGTGAACGTACGATGTAAGTGAAGTGGCCGCCTGTTAAATTGCCGAGCACCCGACGAAGAAACTTCCAATGATTAATTATAGTTTTCTCTGCCGCAGTTAAACCGCTGATTAAAGTCTCGAACCAATTAGTAGCGGCACCTGCTAACAGCGACGTCGTTCTTCATTGCTACGTCGAGTCCTGGCCGAAGGCACTGAATACGTGGTACAGAGACGATGGTGAGCATTATAATATCGAATTGCGCGCCTTATCCCTCAACGTCGTTCTCGATGTCACGTGACCGCGCTGCTGTAACGCGAACTATCGCCACGAATATGGCGGCCGGTTGCAGGTATGAAATTATTGTCGGACGAGAAACACGATCTAGCAGAGGTTCCACTGAACGATTACGCGTATCGATTGAAGCTGACCATTAGCAGACTGAACAGGGATGATTTCGGCAGCTACACATGTTCGGCGGAAAATTTACTCGGCAAAACTGAAGGAACGATAAGACTACAAGGTAACGATTTTACGACATTCGATTTCTACCATCGATTTATATAGTTAGATCCTGTACACGCTGTTCATGCTTGGAAAGCGCTTTACGTGGCTCTCTCTCTTTCTCTGTCCCTCTCGCTGACACGTTCTCCTGGAAAGCAATTACGCTCGCTGATATATGTTTCTCATATATAAAGCCATATCGGTTCGCTATGTGTTCTCTATGTGTTAGAGTAACGGAGTCGAAAAAGCTTGCCGAAGTTTAATACTAGAAAAGTAATAGCACGGTATATTCTTCGATATTTTTCGTTCATGTTATTATTACTTGCCGTGTTATATTAAGAACGAAAATGAATTTCATTTAACGAAATGGTTACAGAGATGCATTTAGCGAAGACTACTTCGGTGCCCATTCGCCACAACTCGGAATTCATCGACAGATACGGATCGAAGAAGCAAATGGAGAGAAAATCAAAACACCATGGATTCGGGCGGGAAGGAGGTTCATTGTCGAAAAATAGCGAGAATATGGGTCACGCGACACCGGTGTTGAGGAGAAACAGTTTGAACGCGTTGACGGATGTCACAGTGAAAAAATCGAAAGTTTCATCATATCCGGCGCCCGCACCTGCGCCAGCGCATTCTACACCGACTCAACTGAGCGTTCAGAATAGCGTCATGTCGCTGCAACACTCGCGATTAAACTGCGTAGGATTAATGTTCGCTTTTCTAGTGATAGTGATCTCTAGCTCGTAAACAGTCGGCTGTTTCGAATGTACGAAAGAGTACAAATTTCATCGTAGGGATTACAGAAAATAAAAAAAAAGGAGGAAAAAGACGAGGGAAAAAGAAAAAAAAAAAGGAGAAAGGAAAACGGTATCTCGAGAAATGCCCATTCTAACCTAACCATCGTTTGTTACTTTTTTACTTTAAGAATCATGTTTCAGGTTCATCGAAGAGGTTTCTTTTATGTTCCATTTTTATCTCCCATCCGAGAAATCGTCGACGATGCTTCTGTCGTGTAGTAAAAGGCACGCACAATTTTCGAACTCATAGGTGTAGTTCACGTGTGTGTGATCATGTCAAACGCATCGGTGTACGTCGTATTGTGGTGAAAATAACGAACGGTTTTTATGACAATAACTATACATGTATACCTACGAAAAATCAGTAGGACTAATCGATCACCGATAAAGCTCGCAAACCGTCGTCGGATACACGGAAAGAAGCGTACATCTTCACCGAATCGATGAATCGACGTTTACAACTCGGTATCTTGTGTCAGGCTACCGAACACAGATGTACAGTTATTTTCAAGCGTGAACGGAGACGTTAATTGTTTATACGTATTTTGTGCGTGTGCATGTTGAGAGAAATCGTTATTCGCTGCTTTCAACAAATTCGTTAGAAGAATCGATTTGCTCAGGCATGAATGTGATCGAACGAACGATACATGGCCCATTTTTGCACAGTCGATCATCGGTTCATGAACGTTTTCATTAGCAACAAATGAATGTATTGTTTATCGATGTTAACGCCTGAGTTGTGTATCCGTGTATGTATGTACGACAATAAACGTTGTTTTTACCAATAATCTCGTTCATCATCCTTCCCGATATCATTATCCTAGATTGAATTTGTAAAATTATACAGTTTAACGCGAATTTTAATCTGTAATATCCATTGTAACATTCTTGTAGAGTCTACCATTGTGAGAACGAATTTATAATCAAAATTGATCTACCACCTTCAGTTTTCGAAAATTGTAAGGTGAGAGTATTCGGAGTTTATCTATGTCCATAATTATAATTAATGCGTAATCGACACCAAAATCATTGTCTAGTAAATTTTATTTTTTATACGTATAACATGCATATGTTTTTAAATGCTTTTTTGTACTAATCGCAAAATTATAAGAAATTCCTCTAAATCACTTGTAACTTGAAACAGTTTCGTTATGCGATATATAAATACGAATAACTTTTTAATACAAAATTCTTGAAAAATAAATACTCACCTAATATTTAAGGTGAGAATAAAATCTCTTAACGTTTTTACTCTTGTGTTGTAAAAATTTCATTGCAAGGAAAATAAATTAAGTATACAAAACAGACAAGACTTCAATTTTTTTACCATCTTATTAATAACGATAACAAAAGTCAGAGTTACTTCTCCATAAACTATAATCCACAAACTAAATCCATCTTCATTGCTTTTATGTTAAATTTATTTTCTAACATCGTTATTCAGCGTTATACAAATACAAGTGGAAACCTGTGATTATATCTATTCAAAAAGGAATCTCAATACGCGCGTAATGCAACCCGCTATACCGCGTTAATACCTTCAGTGAGATACACATGGATAGAAAACCAAGCGAATTCGATCAGCACCATCTATGATTTGGGATCTGGCGCTCGGTAAAGTGATAGGAATATAGAATACGCAAGGAGGTCGACTAACCCTCATCACATGATAGACAAGGACAGCAAGCGGTTAAAAAAGGATAGAAACGACGCCGCAGGGAAAAATCACAAATTACTTAATTTCTGTAATTATTTCATGAACTTTTATAACTGCATCGCAAAGCTGGAACTCTGAGCAACTTTCTCATGTAACTTTCGTATATAATTTGTTGCTAATTAGTCGGTTAATAATAATTATTTAATGGCGTCGTTGATTTGATGTCAACGATCGGCAAGATTGTCCGATAAAATAATTAATAATGAGCAAAACTAGAAGCAAAATATGAACAAATATCATATGAGAAGATGCGCTGGAATATTCTTGTCATTTTGAGTACATGAATGTCACAAATTAATTGCACAGGAGATAGTAATTAATGAATATTTGTCGGTATGTTCGGCATTAGTTCAAACACTCCGTGCAATAATTATTAATAATTAATTAATCAGGAAGTAATTCGTATAAAAAGTAACATTAGAAAATTCTTTAAGGTTGTCTCTTTACGATGCAATTATAAAAGTTCACAAATTAATCACGGTAATTGAATAATTCGATGATTTTCCCTATCAAGTTAATCGCGTAGGCGAATTAATATTTTCTATTCTTTTCTAAGAAGTTGATTGGCTGTAGTGCAGCCAATCAGAAAGACTTGCGATCAGTGCCATCTATGATTTTTTACTGGAAGCTCAAGGAAGTAACGAGCACAAAATGTACAAGGAAGTCGACAAGAGCTTCCAGTGAAAAATCATAGATGGCACTGATCGCAAGTCTTTCTGATTGGCTGCACTACAGCCAATCAACTTCTTAGAAAAGAATAGAAAATATTAATTCGCCTACGCGATTAACTTGATAGGGAAAATCATCGAGTTATTCAATTACCGTGATTAATTTGTGAACTTTTATAATTGCATCGTAAAGAGACAACCTTAAAGAATTTTCTAATGTTACTTTTTATACGAATTACTTCCTGATTAATTAATTATTAATAATTATTGCACGGAGTGTTTGAACTAATGCCGAACATACCGACAAATATTCATTAATTACTATCTCCTGTGCAATTAATTTGTGACATTCATGTACTCAAAATGACAAGAATATTCCAGCGCATCTTCTCATATGATATTTGTTCATATTTTGCTTCTAGTTTTGCTCATTATTAATTATTTTATCGGACAATCTTGCCGATCGTTGACATCAAATCAACGACGCCATTAAATAATTATTATTAACCGACTAATTAGCAACAAATTATATACGAAAGTTACATGAGAAAGTTGCTCAGAGTTCCAGCTTTGCGATGCAGTTATAAAAGTTCATGAAATAATTACAGAAATTAAGTAATTTGTGATTTTTCCCTGCGGCGTCGTTTCTATCCTTTTTTAACCGCTTGCTGTCCTTGTCTATCATGTGATGAGGGTTAGTCGACCTCCTTGCGTATTCTATATTCCTATCACTTTACCGAGCGCCAGATCCCAAATCATAGATGGTGCTGATCGAATTCGCTTGGTTTTCTATCCATGTGTATCTCACTGAAGGTATTAACGCGGTATAGCGGGTTGCATTACGCGCGTATTGAGATTCCTTTTTGAATAGATATAATCACAGGTTTCCACTTGTATTTGTATAACGCTGAATAACGATGTTAGAAAATAAATTTAACATAAAAGCAATGAAGATGGATTTAGTTTGTGGATTATAGTTTATGGAGAAGTAACTCTGACTTTTGTTATCGTTATTAATAAGATGGTAAAAAAATTGAAGTCTTGTCTGTTTTGTATACTTAATTTATTTTCCTTGCAATGAAATTTTTACAACACAAGAGTAAAAGCGTTAAGAGATTTTATTCTCACCTTAAATGTTAGGTGAGTATTTATTTTTCAAGAATTTTGTATTAAAAAGTCATTCGCATTTATATATATCGCATAACGAAGCTGTTTCAAGTTACAAGTGATTTAGAGGAATTTCTTATAATTTTGCGATCAGTACAAAAAAAGCATATAAAAACATATGCATGATATGCATATAAAAAATAAAATCTACTGCACGATGATTCTGGTGTCGATTACGCATGACTACGGTCCTGAAGTTAGATGTGCGAAGGATGTCTGGCGTGGCGAGAAAATCTTGCTTACGGGTTGCCGATATATATTTTACCGTCTTGTCAACATCATTGAGCATCATCCTAATACTGTTTCCAGATGGTTTCTTCTTCGGAAAAGCATACAGAATACGCCACTGTGCAGCAAATTCCTGCCAAATGAAAAATTTGTTAGAAAAATGCAAGAATATACGCAAAAAGTATGCTAGAGGCTTATTTTTAGTCTTTGATGACCAATTATAATTATTCCAAAGCACAAATAATCATAATTATGGATATTGATAAACTCTCATCTAACTTGTAAGACAACACTGCATCTCCTAACATTTTTACTTTTTATATAATACTTCATTTTAACCAAAAATTGTGCCTGTTTAGAAAAATTCACATTTTTCAGAAACTGAGGATGACAGAAAAATTTTGATTGCGGATTCTGGTACAAGAAATTAAGCTCTACGAGAATCACCTAATGGATATTACAGAGATGTAATGGATATTAGAGAAAAAGCTAAATTTGTTGGACAGTGTTATAGAATAACTGCAAATGAACAAAAGAAAGAAGACAGATTTACGACGTTTAAGCAAATTTTTACCCGGAATATCAAGTATCCTTTTTAACTGTTCGCAGTATCCGATTCTTTTATCGAAAGAGGAAAAACATAACAAGAGACGAATGATACGCCGCCCACACGATTCAGTTACTAACCATCATGAAGTATCAGTAACGAACAGTTAATTAAACGCTCTGGTCCAACGTTGATTTCTGTCTCGCGGGAATCATGAAGTATCTGCTAACCGTATTTTTCATCTTTGATTTGTTTGCAAACATCGTGGCGAGGCCGATCAGTTGTCAAACTATTATCAACAAGCGAGATAATAGAGTGTCGTTTTACTGCACGGGGCTAACGAACTTGGTGAAATTGGAGAAAGCGTGGGCCAACAGTACGAGCATCGAGATTTCGGATTCAAACATACCTAATATTCCAGGGTAAAACGAAACCTCAGTTTGCATAATACGTTTACTGTCCAGTAGTTAGTGTTTAAGTGTTCGGGCGCTAACAATAAGTAACGTGATTCAGCTGTTAAAACTTTGTATAGAAAAGTACCATTGCATCCGCTTCTGATATGCAATTACGTTGCAATCGGATTATATCATAGCATGTCCTGAGTCTCAGTGATACTTAACATCAACAAAACGCGATCACATTGTATCCATTTTTTCAGTATAAGCTGGATCAAATTTTATCGTATTGAGAAGTACCATTATATTTGCTTGCGGTATTCGATTCACAGTGCTTTCGAATTCTAGTCTCTGGTACCATTAGATTTACTGATGCTTAAAGTGGATGCAACATTGTCGAGACGAATTACACCACAAAATGTCAGCAGTCTTACTGATATTTAAGATGAATGAAATACTATGGAGACCCCTGCTATTTTTCAAAATAATCCAAAATAAGCTTGATCGCTTGATTCTTCTCGCATATCGTTTTCCGATGATACCCCGTCTCTCAAACAGCTAAAATAGAAATTTGTATTAGGAATATTCATTGAACAGAAATAATATTCTGATAGACATTTAGTAAGACACAAAAGTGCTTTTACGTATACAGTAGCGAACAGCGTGAAACAAAGAAAGCAGCGATAAAAATAGATGAGAATTAAACTTGGAACTTTAGCACACACCGTTTGTTTGTAGACATAGTTTTGCAAGATTTGGAGCAACCCTCGTAACTCTGGATCTACACGGATCAGGTATACAGACCATAGATTTTTTGGCATTCGTAGGCCTCACGAAACTGGAGAATTTACTACTGTGGGGTAACAAATTGATATACGTGTACAAGGATTGGTTCATATACATGAGTAACTTGAAAACACTGGATCTGTCGTTCAACTCCATCCAAGTAATGGACTACGCGCTATTCGAGGTGCTCCCTAATTTGAGAAACTTCTACTTCGATTACAATGAAATAAGATACATCGACTTCAGTATGTTCGCAAACCTCAGAAATCTTAAAAATGTGAAGTTCGAAAAGAACCCGTGGAACTGGGGGTGAGTATTCCTGGAACTTTAACGTTTCCGGTTTCCGGTTTTAAATGAGTTGCGCCAAAATATGAAACATATCTCTCTTTCCTTGAACCTCATTACCAAGCATGCTCATAAAATCTCTATTCTAAGTATGCGCTTGTGATTATGTCAGTAGACTGCGTAAAAAATGTAGAAGTTTTCAATTTCTCTATTATCTTGCGTTATACCATTCTTCGTTATGATAATGTGGAATTAACGTTCTTAATCCGTTGCGAACGAATACTCCAATACACGCAGTATAATACTCTTACTTCCCAGTAAAGGGTAATTTTGTTGCTTTCATCATTGTCGCTTATATCTTTTCCATTTGTTATTTCTAGTGGTTTAGTTTATATTCCTTGCTTGTCTTCATTTATCTGCAAAGGTTTAAGATAGTTATTATAAAGGTTGAAATTATTTAATTACATTAAAGAAGCATACCTTTTTAAATGCAAATAAATGTAAAAATTGGAATACTCCCAAATGAAATGAGTCGTTATTAATTACCAACATAGTTTCATCGAGTATTTCGAACAAACGATAAATTATTTTAAGGAAATTAATTTTCTTTATACCTTGTAGATTTCGTGCTCGTTTAACATGGCAGTTGGAGAACCAGCACGTGAAATATGGCGAAGATTGGGAAGATTGGGCATGGATGAACCACGTCATCAAAGAGTGCGTAGAAAATGGCTATGGCGAGATACCGAACGATGTTATTCTCGATTGCGTCGTTGAAAAATTACTGAACTACACGTATGAGATATTTACCACCGGAATAGTATATGAAAACCTCGAATGCAGCAAGAGAGCTCGCCAATTGGTACGTTGCATGAGACCCAAAAATGCCACCGGTAATACGGATAACGAGACTGCAAGAAGAATACTTGAATATTATACAGCAGTTTTACCGACAATGTCGAGATCGCATAGTCGATTTACGATGTCGTGGAATGGTAGTACATGAATTTACATACCATCGCCATTTAATTAAATATCATAGTATACCTGTTATTTAAAAATGTAAACCTAAGTTGTGTTAATCTATTCATCGGAAGTTAGGCACTGGTCGTGTACGATACATCTGATTTCTCGTGTATTTTAACCTGAATAAAATCCCAAATTATAATTTATGCAAATTATCAAAGACTATTTATGACTTAACATGCCTCGTCGCTAAAATTTTAGTTAAAATCGTGTATGATAATGTCTTTTACACATGATGGTAACGTGTGTATATATATAAATACATATTGAATTGCAATTTATACATTTTTTTTGTGCAATTAATTGTAAAATACATTAGCATGCAAGTGTCATCCGATTGTAACGATACATAGGCTTGAAGGAACACGTTTGAAAATTCCAATTTCGCATTTCGAGACTGTTGGGTATCTAAAGCAGAGGGTGTTTAATCTTCTGGACGAAGAAAATAAAAATTGGAAACCAGAGAGGATGAGACTTTGGCTTCGAGGATTTTACATGGAGGATAATCGTATGATATCTGATTACAAATTAAGTCCAAAAGATCAAATAATGTTGCTTCTCGATGATCGTTATTAATATTGATTTTTTACAAGGTAAACGTTTCCCCGCTTCTTTATTCTTTCCGAGATATGTAACGATCCTTAATTACATTAGACGTTAATGAAGGTTGAAATTTTAAAAGTATATAATGAACTACGTTAAGTTTCACTGCGGTTACCAGGGAACTTTAAAATTGAACGGTTATTTCTTGTCTCTTGATCGTAAGCTTTTTAAAAGTTCAAGTGACAAGTTTAGAATTTTATCAGTTCCAAATAGTTAAAAATAACTTATCTTGAATTTCGAGAAGAAAAGAACTAAATAGGCGATTAAATTTGCCCGTTTATTTTTTATGTTAATGTAGTTACAGTTTTGTTAATTGATTACAAAACAACTAAACGCAACACATTATCGCTGCTTATGTATAATACTGAACATAAAGAAATTATTTTATCATTTATATCTGGATTTAATATTAATGAACATTGATTTTCATTATAGATTCTTATCACATTTTCGATTAACTTATTAACGAATAGTGTATAATTTAATTAATAACGATATTTCTGCTATAATAAAATTAAATTAATGTGTATTAGGAATGTACGTTTAACGTAGAGAACCTGTGATTACCAGATTTTCTAAATTCAATCTTTTGCTGTTAAAAGTTTGCTTTTAAAAAATACGATTATGATTTGACTCTCATAATTTCTTATAGACATTATAGTTAAAATTTGTGTTTAATTTATTTCATTATGTAAAAAAGAGCACGACAATCTACCATATTTCATATGATCATTAAAAACGTGCTTTATATCAAATATATTTTGAAAACGCAGTTAAAATTCACATTGACTGTAAAAATTTTCAGCTAAAATCTTAATTTTATATCGAAGATACAAAAATAAATTCATAATCATAATATTTCTTCGATATTTTGTCATCATGCTTTCGGATCTCTACGTTATATATAATATCAATGATCTTTGCATGTTAGACACTTAAAATCGTGTTAAAAAATATAATTGGTTTAATTATAATTTACTTCCCTATTCCAGTTGACTGGTGCCCCACCCACAGGATTAATGTCTAGTTTGTGCTCCGTGCAATAGTACATGTTTTCCGGTAGTGCTGTTTTAAAACACATGCAAAAATATTTAAAAAATTTTTTAAAATATTTAAATAAAATTTGTTAAATTAAATTATTGATTTTGCGGTTTGTTTTTAAACTCACCAAAAAAAATAAGAATTACAAATGTTACATCTTTATGCATTCAGAACTTCGAGAAAAGTCGAGACTCGTAGATAAAGAATTATGCGGGTCGCCAAATGAGTATTCATTGAATTCATCGAAACAAATCACATATTGAAATATGTTCATTCGTCTTCACGTCGACTCAAACGTGAAAATTGACTCGACTTGTCCGTTGTTCTCAGAAGATATTCCTGCTCAGTATACTTACTGTGATCCGGGAATGTATTGACTATAAATTGGTACATCTTTGTGCATGCAACGACAACAGCGTTTTGGCTCGTTGGCATTGGTTCCCCATGATATTCGATGAGAGTGTGACCATCTTGAAAGATAGTTATCTGAGAGAATAGAAGGAAAGAAAATGATAAATAATCAAGAACTGCGAAAAGAATAGTAAGAGGATAAAAATAAATATAAATCGTTATAATCGTGCATATTTACTTTGCAGATAAAATTGGGTGCACCCGCTGTACGCAAACACTTAAAATGGCAAGTAGCGTTGAGCTTTCCTTTAATGAAGTTTTGTAAGGCATTCATATGTACTGAAGTTATATCGACTATATTGTTGGCGTTCATGTCCACGGCTTTCTTACAAATGGCCTTTTTCGTTGGCGCGAGTTTAATACAATTCTGCTGAAGATTATGTGGATTTGATTTTGCTATAGCTTCGTTAATACATCGTTGTCTTTCAAGAATTTTCGTAGCTCCAATTGGCTTTGCCCAACGTATTTCCCAACCTTCACACTCAGCGATGCTATTACTACCTAATTTATTATTGTTTTGGTTTTATTAAAATTTGTATAACGATGAAAATTTATTGGAAAAAATAAACTAGAGTAATAAGCGTACTTGTCATAATGTTCATTACAGTTTGTGCTGCTTGACGACTTTCATAGTGTATGAAGGCGAAGTGATTGATTTTCTTTAATTTTAAGATAGGAATTCTCGTAGTTTTTTGAAAGATTTCTCGAATTTTTTGTTGAGACATATCCAAAGATAAATTTCGTACAAATAAGGCAGTAACCTATGAGTGACAGAAAATGTTATAAATACTGTCTAATCCATTATTAAAACAAACATAGTTTAAACGATTCATATTCACTATATTATATATATAATATTCGTATAGTGTATGCAAAATTTGATTAGATATCTTAGAACTTACACTTTCCATAATTTCTTCGTCGATAGGATCACCAGGTTCGGGATCAGCCCAATCAACCGCAATTTCATGATCCCATAACATAACTCTTCCAGGTATTAACTTCCGTCTTGCCATTGCTGCTGCTCTATGATCTTTGAACTCGACGAAAATGAAACCGCGATTTAACGTCTTGTCGTGTGCACTTGGATACAGATAAATATCAGTAATACCCTCAAGGATTTTATTCAACTCTTCCAGAAATTCTTCCTTGCTTTTGTTCTTGGGTACTCCACCGAAGAACAGCCGACAGTTATCAACCGATTTAACAACACCAATACGATGGCCGGGTCGAATTTCATAACCGTCAAGTTCTGCGCATGCGTATCTTGCTATTTTTGAATTTTCGAACAATGCAAATGCGTAGCCGCGAGTTGATCCGGAAAAATCGAGCATTAAACGTAATTCCATTAAACGACCGATTCTTTCGAGAACTGGCATTAGTTCATCCTCGTAACAATCTCGCGGAAGACGACCGAGGAAAATTTCAGCACCTTTCACACGTTGTTTTTCACCTCGTACGATCTCTGGAGCAGTTAAACGACGTTGTCCATTTTCTTGCACTAATTCGTATCCTGTTCTTTGTAACATTTCCAACAGTCTCATTGTCAACTGATATTCTTCCATAGTATTTTCACTTGATCTACCGCGAACTTTCTTTGTACCATTCATTATGAAATACAACGGAATAGTGTGAAACAAAGAAAAATGAACTAAATAAGCGAACTGTTGAGGACTAACTGATCCTCCTAAGTTTTTTTCTTATCCCCTTCTTTCTTCTCCGCACCCTCCCAACCAGAGTTCGTCGAAATATATGGAACCTTATTCCTCAAATGGACCAATCGCAGTGACCGAATGTCATTGTCAATACAGCTATATGTTTTTAGGTAGAGAAAGATAACGAACGTATCGAGTTTATATTTGTCTCGGATACAGAATAAGCATCTTAAAAGAAAATACGTGCATCTCTTCGAAGGCATTAAATTTTATAATAGAACAAAACTACTATAACGTGTTTATACTTCAGTGTTCTTATTGATGACTACTAACTATTATAATTTTCATTTGTTGTGTATTTGTAAAAAAAGACAATAAGGAGATGACAATATTGATGTGAAAATTAGTATTATAGAAGTGCGAATTAAACTTTGACTTATAAAAATATATTCATTATTATGTTTATTTATTATTATTTGTTATTATGTCATTTTAATAAATTACCTAGAACATACATTTACAGTTAAAATGTAAAAGTGAATAAATTAGAAGTGGTTATAACAGAAAAGTTACTTTGTATAGCAACAGATGCGATCGTGTATTTCCGTATGGCCTTACGAAAACCGAATGTGTACCGATCGTTGCTTATATAAGAACTGAGAAACCGTAACAGGATATCATTTGTTCCTTTGACCTCACTTCAAATGGATCGTGAAATTGTGTCACATGATTTTGGTATGTAAATAGGGTGGACGAAAACCAGTAGCTAGCATTTTCAGTAAATTGATAATTTCTGTCCACACTATATAATATAAATTAAAATTTACTTAAATAAAATGTAATATTTAATGATTTATTTTTAATAAACTTGGATCATTTGTATAAAAATTAAATTGTTAAATAAATTTTCTGCTAAGGTTAGCTTTCTTATGTATACTATTTCATTCTATTCCATAAACGTAAATTTAACCACAAATGAGACCCTTGCGTCATCACTTTCACGTGGTGGGTCTTGGTAATTGGTATCGTATTCCAAAGATAACTGTTTGGAAGGCGATACCAAGCTAAGAACTGTGCAGCATCTGTAGTCCAGTTTAGACTTTGCAAAATTTCCTTTGGGTCTTTTGATTATCTAGACTACAGGTATATATTATACAACTTTGTAGTAAGATGTTTGGTATTTGTACGTTTTACTTTTAACTAATTATAATATAAACAACTGGACCAACAATGAATTTATTGTGTCGTATTCTGATGTAATCTCATTTAAATTACAATAGCAATATCTTATAATAAAATTGTAACTTAATAAATGAACAGAAAATTATGTTTTAAACAAAATTATAAACATGTACAAATTATCCTAAATACTGTAAGAATTAAAGTTATTGAATTAAATAAAGGTTTTAAATATCTGAATTTTTGGTTCTTTTTTTTAACATTATTCTTATTTCATTTGAAATTTTGTAGTCACACTCAAAGTCACATTTATTTATAAAGTATCACTGGTGTTGTAGATTTACTCTGTACTATATTAATAACATTAGCAGTAACATAGAAATAGTAACGTAACTATGGGTTTTAAATTCATTTTATATCTTGTTTATGCTTTAAAATATTAAAACAGATAAAATATTCGTTTTCAATTTTATTATTTGTGTTATAACAACAGATGGTAATACTACTCGTAATTAACAATATAATCGACTGTTGGTACTTTCTTGATTACCAATGGTTAATATATTACTAGAAAAGCATCCTTATATAACATTTTTCTTTGATTCTTGTAAACAAATACATATAATCCAAATGTTAATAATCCAAATCTCACGTGGATCAAATAAGCATAAAACCGCATGGATCTATTAAATCCAAATTTTTATTTCAAATTTAATAAAAATGCTCTTCTCTTAAAAATATCGAGAAAGTATCTGTAACATGTTTGAAATTATGCAACGAATTTATTATCAAATGAATAAATGCAACGAACGCTATACAAAAGTTAGGGTTTTGTCATATACAGAGCGTCAAGATAAGCGTGACTGAAATTTCTACAATTAACGTTTACATATTGTGCACCATTTGTTTTAACCGACTGTATTTTTGTACAACATTTATTTGTTAATCTATTGATTGTAACGGTTGTTATAAATCGATGCAACGACGTGTATCTGTACTAAAGCTACCAAGCTATTTTGAAAAACATCACCCTTGCATTCTCACCAGTCATTCACATCCATTCATAACATTATACACTGAAGTCAAATGAAAATATTATATTTATTTGAATTGAAAGCACATATAGGAAAAGAGGAGTTTTTATTTATCGACTCATAGCATGTCAATCAGTATATATGCTTTCAACTCACGTGTTTTCGTCGATTTACTACGGCGATCCTAATAACATTATTTCTTTGCTATTACACATTAGGTACCTACATGTCCTTCGTTCGCTCTCGAAGGATGGCTTGTCAGTGCCGTTTCTGTACACGATCGAGAGAAAATAAACTTGCGTACATGGCACTAAGCAACATCGTAGAACACGGATCTAGTAATCTTAAGCATACAAAAATAAATTATAATAATAATCATGTATCTCTGAACTTATACATGTACAATGAATACTATATTACGTGTACGTATATATAATATATATAGATATATAAATATATTTTAAAGTACAGTATCCCTTATAGTTACTCTTGATTTAGAGTACAATTAAAATGCTCTCTTTTTTTTTAGTAATAAATACCAGAACATCTAGGAGAATTACCTAATGTATGCTGAATAATTTGGAAGTATTCTTTTATACATAAAGAATGCCCACAATTAAATTTAGACAAATTTTTGTAAAAAGGAGAAAGAAAAACTGTATATCAATATAAAAAGTATATTCGTGCTTGTTGTACTTATACACATATGACAGTATAATTTGCTTTCTTTGTACCATCAATCAATTTTGCTCGAACAACAAGCAAATCTATAAATTTAGATAACGCGCTAACACAAATATTATTTTGCTACAGGGAACACATTCATCGTTTAGCACTTACTTACAATAAGTATAACTAATACGTTATTTTAAAAAATATATTACACCAGCAATGTACAGTTCTCCTAGACATTCTTGTTTCACTAAACCCACCATTGCATTTGCTGGTGTACGCTTTGGCTGCAGCAAATTACCTATACATAAAAGATTAATGCATTTTTAAACAATATCTAAATATCTCTTATATTTAAAAATGAAATCGAAATTATGATGTAATGTATACCAACCTATATAGTTTAAAGAGTTCAGTAAATTACAGACTTTTCACAGGCACAGCGCGAAATGACTAGGAATAATGTTACAATGGTTAACACAGGTTGAGATGCACCCGATGACGATCCTTCAACTGAAAATGCATTAAATATTCATAAGAATCTTGCTCATTTACAAACAGATATCGTTACTCAATGCATTGCGATATTTACCCTTCTCAGCCTGTTCATCCGCATATTCTGCAGCAACCAAAAAAAGACACTTTAGTAAATCAACAATTTTATTATGCAAAATGATTACAAAATGTATCTCTTTATTTTCGTACCTCTTATAAACGTGCGTGGTTTTGATGGTTGAGACCATCCAAAATCGTTTTTAGCCTGAAGGATCGCTTCGTACGATCCAGGTTGAAGTCCTTCGATTGTCTGTTCAACAGAGAATTGATTTCCTTTGCCATTCGTTACTGCAGGCTTCAGAATAGTCCAGTTTGCGTCTCCTTTGTGACGATATTCGAGCTGTATCATTCAATAAATTCGTTTTAAATATTCTACAAAAAACTAGAAAAACACAAAAATAAGACAATTACCTTATATTCAGTAATCGGCGAATAACTTTCCAATTGCCATTTTAACGTTTTTCCCGGGCCGGTACTTGTCATCTCACCATCAGAAATAATCGCTTGAGAAGGAATACCTGCAAAGTAATTAATTAGATTCGATTTGACTGAAGCAGAAAATTATTTTTAAATCTTCAACTATTAACAATTTTCTGATACGATTCGATGGATTAATCCACAAATCTCTATACATCCAAAATCTTCAAAATTAAAATTATTTCCAAATGCACATTATTTGCCTTTCGAATTCTCTTTTCCAAGGAAAAAGACAAGAAATTTACCGGTAAGGGAAATAGTTTTCTCCACCCATCCAAGTTTGTTCTCTGCCCTGCATACGTAATCTCCCAAGTGCTCTTTTTCGGTGTGCAGAATCTCGAGGGTATGCCGGGTTTTGTTCGCGCTGATCTGTATGCTATTTTTTTTCGGCAACACTTCTTTGTGATCCTTCAACCACGTCACCGTAGCATGCGGATGAGCGTGCACGACGCACGTTAGCCGCGATTCAACGCCGAGCCCGGTATGCACCCATCTCCCCTTTGTCTCTATTACGGGAGCGTCTACGAAAACAAATAAGCTCTTTTTATATTTGATTTATTCGTTGTGAAAACACTTAAATATAGAATACTGGGTCATCGCAAAAGCGCGGCGAGTGAGCCGAGTCCTTACAATTAACAGTAACGTTGATGGCTTCTACAAGTGGATTCGGTGTTCCGATCTCGGCCAAACACTGATACTGTCCAGCGTCG